CACACACACACACACTCCTGAGCCTGAGAAGACAGCCCGGCTCTGAAGGACTAGCCAGGCCTCTGAGTCCTGTGAACAGCAGGCGCCGCTGTTCTTATTCTATTCGGAGGAGCTGACGGAAGTGCATAGGGTGGCTTTGAAGGATGGAGGGACACCGAATCCCTAGGGGGCATGGGTTGGGGAAGGGGCCTCCGGAATAGCCCGCTTGCCTCTCTTCCCAGAGACCTCTCCCCAGCCTTCCAAGTCCTCGCGGAAAATGATCGCAGAGAACCACGACAGATTCAATGTCCCTAAAAATGCCATGCTGGTCGGGGGGGGGGGGGGGGGCGGGGGGGTAGTAAGGGAAACCGGACGCACCGGTTCTGCGCTTGCGCAGAGCTCGACCGGGTTCCGGGGTCACTGGGTGGCGGAGCGGAAGTGCTCAGCTGACCCCGAGGGGAGGGCGTGAGAGTCCGCTGCCTGTTCTCTGCCGGGAGCTGTCAGATCTTGTGAAGCTGTCAGATCCTGCGAGCACAGTAAGGGGAGGGTTCGGGGTGGGGGTCATGGGGTAGGGTGTCCAGCGACAGAGCAGGGGTGCGATGTGTTTTGCGGGAGGACTGCGGAGATCAGCGAGTGACAGGGATTCATTGAGTGCCTCCTAAACGCCCTGAGCAGGTACTAGGATTAGTTTGGTTGTATAGAGCTAAAGGAAGAACAGAAAAGCTAGGAAACGAGTCCATAGCCACACAGCTAGTAAACTGGGGAAGCATTTCCTTTCTTCCTCTTTGATTTTTTCCGTCTAGCACCTTGCCTTTCTGATGTACCTAAATGTATTTATCAAGTTGGTTCTTCTCTGTCTCCTCTGCCAGAATATAGCTCCACAGGATCAGGGAACTCAGATATTTTGTTCCCTAGCATATCTCCAATAGGAAGAAAGTAGAACAGGCACAAAACAGGCACTCACTTTTTTTACTTTTATTTTTATTATTTTGAATTTCTTTATTTATTAAGGTATCACATAATTATCCTCATCCCCCCATTCCCATCCCAAACCACTCACCATGTATGCCCCCACTCCCCTGTTGTCCATGGCCACTAGTTAGGCTCATATGCATGCACAGAAGTCCTTTGGTTGATCTCTTCCTCTACCCGCACTTTCCCCTACCTTCCCTGAGGTTTGATGGTCTGATCGGTGCTGCCCTGTCTCTGGGTCTGTTCTTGTTCATCGGTCTATGTTGTTCATCATTTCCCCTAGATGAGTGAGATCATGTGCTACTGGAAATACACTTATAAGAACCAAAAATGAGACAAGCCATAATGGTTATGCCAAGAGGCAAATGAATCAGTCTGTAGTGAGTTCCTTTCTGGGCCAACAGTTCTTTTGAGTCCCAATTTCAATGTCAAACAGTTCCTCATGTGGACATAAAGTGGCAGAGCGCACAGTTTGGTTCCAGAGCTCAGATGCTTCTGAAGTGAGGCATAGCTCCTGGTCCTTCTACCATGGAGCTCTTACTAAATGTTAACACTTAACACTAGAATGAGTTTATTTAAAGGCCTCCTGGTGTCCAGTAAAACACAGGCTTTCCTTGTGGACGAAAAGGGGCCACAAGCTAACCTGACTAGCTCAGGAAAAGCCTGCGTGGTGGCCTGGCAAACTCAGAGACCTAAAGTCACCACATAAGATGGTCTGACATGAAAACATTTTAAATTAGAAAGCAGCTGTGGTGGGTAGTCATGTCTTAGACAGGTATCTTTGCTGACAAAGATCATCTTAACTGTGCCTATTGTGGTACTTTGCATCTATGATTACGCACCTGTGGAATGTCAGGTAACTTGTAACTTCCCTTTTCCCAGACCCCTCAGGGCACAACCAATGTGTCAGGGCACCAGGACAGAGACCACAAATCCCCTCATTTTTATTATAATACTGCTAATTGTTGGCTCTAAACTATCCTGTACAAACCTATGTAAATGAAGTATGTGTCTATCATTTTACTTTTTATCTAATCCCACAGGTTTCCCCACTTTGCTTTCTCACACCTCCCTAACCGATCACCAAGGGATTTCATGTAACCCACTTACTAGCACATCTCCTCCTTTGATTGTGATGTATAAAACTAGGTGAAGAAGCTACCATTCTCCAGAGCATTAGCTGAGTACTTTGAGATTCTGTTTCCCGGTATTTGTCAATGGTTTGGCTCAAATAAACTCACAAAAATTCTTTACAGATTTGAATGTTTCTTACATTAACATCCTCAATTTCACTTCATCATGAAGGTTACTAGTTGCATTTATGTGCTCACTGTCTTTCCAGAGTCAGGGTGCATAACTGAAACCACTGCTCATCAACTTCAGACTCCAGCTTATCTGCCCTGGGCTTCTTTAGTCTACAGAACTCAGTCTGAAGCCCCAGAAGGAGGTAAGTTTCCCAGATCAGAAACAGATATCTGCTGCTAAAGTGATTGTGCCGCGCTAGCTCAGCCAAGGGTTCGGTGAGCCCAAGGGAGGGTGGAGAAGGATGAAGAAAAGACAGACAAAGAGAATAAGCTGGGGCTATGTGGATCTCCTGTGCCTGGCTGAGGCCACAGAAAAAGTTCCAGAGGGCAAGCTGAGCCTTTATTTTATAGCCAGAGGTAAACAAGGTGGTGGTCACGATAGTTACAATGTTCTTATGAGTTTCACTTGTTTTGGCAGCACTTGCTGCCCCTCCCACAGCCCATCAGCGACCCAGAAAGGATCTAGGGGCTCATAAGGTCAAGCTTAATTATGTTAAGGGGGCTGTGCCCTCTACGCTGGGACTTGTTTGCGGCTATGCCACCAGGTCAGTCTGAGGCTTAACCCTATAACCGCTCCCTACAAGTGATGGTCCTAGATAAGATGTGTTTATCTTTGAACCTCAGTCCCTCTTCCTTAGGAACCAGAGAGTTTGTGTGACAGGAATTGGAGGAGAAGTCCCAGCCCAGAGCCCAGAACTACATGCTCAGAGCAGAGAGAGGAAGCTCACACGAGAGCAGGTCCTGGAAGAGCTGGACCCACAAGGGCCTCTGCCACTCCCTCCCGCTGAGAGAGCATGACTGGTATGCTGACTCAACGTCCAGCAATACTGAAGGACTAGTGACAGTGGGCACTTGGACCACTATTGGAGAGAGGAGAGTTACAGACAGATGGAGGGGCACTGCCAGGATGGGGGAGCCTTGCTGTTGTGCCTGCAAGGTCAGGATCAAGCTGGGAAGATCGCTAGCAGCCTTCCAAAGCTTTCCCCTTCCCCAACACCTGTGTGCACTGTGCTATGCTCCCCTCTTTTGCCATTGGCTACTTCTGGATTTGAGTCAGTTCTGTGAGATGAATGTCCCTCCTGCTTCTAGCAGAAGTACTGAATCTCCTCTACCCTGCCCAAAGTACACAATAGGTTTTTTAAAATGTGTTTTTAGTTTTTATAATTTGTGGAACTTCAGAGTCCTTGTTAGGTATGCTGCCATCTTTTAAAAACATATATATTTTATTGATTTTTTTTACAGAGAGGAAGGGAGAGGGATAGAGAGAAACATCAATGAGAGAGAAACATCGATCAGCACCTCCTGCACACTCCCTACTGGGTATGTGCCTGCAACCAAAGTACATGTCCTTGACCGGAATCGAACCTGGAACCCTTCAGTCCGCAGGCTGACACTCTATCCATTGAGCCAAACGGGTTTTGGCCAGTTCTGCTGCCTTCTGTTGATGCTACTGTAACTGGGCCTGAGAGCATGATTTGTTAAGCTACACGTGCTAAGCCCTGTTGTCTCAATGCTGCCGCAGGGATTGTAATAACGGTTATCCAGCACACAAGCCCCTTGCTGAAACTTTCTTTGAAAAACTTCCCAACAAGGAAGAGCAAATCGAAATCATGAGAAAGGGGGAAGGGATGGTGGGGTGAGCCAATGAAGGGCAAAGGGCGCAGGAGACAACACCAGTGGTTCCCAGCTCCATTGGAACTGACCAGTGCTGGGCTCTTCTCCTCCCCGCCCTCTCAGCCCTGGTTTGTCTCTTTCCCTCCAAACCACAGCAAGAGATCCCCCTCTTCCAGACTTTGCTCAAGGTCTGTCACCTATAGGGCTCAGTGTGATAGTCAGGGATTTGTAATAATTTTTAATTTTTGACTAGTAATTAATATCCACTGAGAAATGCAAAGAAACAAAAGAAAGTTGAAATCACCATGCAAAGGTAACTGTCAACATTTTAATAAATGCTTTTCCAGACTGCTCTTCCTTAGTACACACATACTGCTTACCAAATGGGATCACACTGCACTTGCTTTTTGTAACCTGATTTTAAACATGTTAAGAAATGAAAACAGGATCCCATGCCATTTTTAAAGCCCATGTGGTATTACTATTTGTATTTCTTACTCTATTTATATATTTTTTATTATTATTATTTGAGAGAGGAAGGAAGAGGGAGAGAAAGATAGAAACATCAATGATGAGAGAGAATCATTGATCAGCTGCCTCCTGCAAACCCCCCACTAGAAATCAAGCCCACAATCTGGGCGTGTGCCCTTGACCAGAATTGAACCTGGGACCCCTCTATCCATTGAGCCAAACCGGCCAGGGCTGTATTTATTACTTTTTAATGGAGGTTTAGTTGAGCCCAAATTTTTGAATGGTGGAAACAACTACATTAACATCCTTGCAGCTTTGTGCTCTTTGTATTTGCTTTTTTATGGTAAATTTCCAGGAATAGAATTATTGAGAGAAAGGAGGTACCAGGTTATTAATAGCTTCTGAGTAGATGTTTTCAAACACAAGTTAGACATCTGTCCAGGAAATGGAGACAATTCCATGTGCAAAACCCACAAGTGCTTAGCAACATCTCAAGGGAATAGATTGGTGCTACCAGGTCATTGTTCCAGTTTATTCTACCCAGGGTATAGGGTGATTGTTATTAGGCTGATGATTATGGCCTCATGGCTGTTTGCACTGACCTTGACCTTCCTAATTCTGCCTTTGTAGACCTCCATCCTTTGTCCAAAGCAGAACAGAATGGCCATGTCCCAGGTGAGTGCCTCATTTCCCCCCTACTTTGTTTGTTTCCAGTGAGCTGCAGGCAGCTTTGGGGAATCTGTAATATAACCTTGAAAACTCTGTTAATCCCCTCTGTCTGGCCGTTTTCTCTTCAACCTGTCATACATCTCAGGTCTCTCCAGTCCTTGCCCTCCCCAAAAAAAGAATAAGAAAAAATAAAGGACAAAGACTTTTTTCATCTTATTCCGCTGAGAAATTCACCTTGTCTTTCTTCTCTTCCTTCTCAGAGAAGATTGTTTAAATACATAGAATCATCTGGCTTCTTCCATTTCTTCACTTCCAGTTCATTTTTGCTTTTTCTTTATGTTGAAAATAATGAAAGTAAATCAATGCTTAATGTTTTGATATGCATAAAAACAGTAGGCAAAACAGTCCCATTCCTTCTCCCCCCAGTACCATGCTCTTCCACAAGATTCCCACTGCTAACAGTTTAGTGATAGATGGTGTGAATGCATTTACATCAGTTAAATTAACTCAAAACAGATACATATGTAACATCATACATGTTTTTGCACCAATGCCATCAAGCTCCAATACCTATCTTGCTTTTCCCACCTGATTATATATTCTGGGTGGTGTTCCTCATCCTATATAATAAAAAGTTAATATGCAAATTGGCCCCTTGACCAGGAGTTCTACCAGGGGATCCAACCTCCTGTGTCCCCTACCCCCAGCCGGCCCAGCCCAATTGTCCTAATCTGGGCGGGCCAGCTGGACCCCACCCATGCACAAATTCATGCACCAGGCCTCTAGTCAATACATAAATATTATTTTAGTTCCTATCTTGTAGTATGGATGTATTATTTAACTTTTTTTTCTATTCATAGATACTAAGGTTTTTAATTTTCTTCTTCTATTAATAAACACTGCCTCTTGAATAACTTTCTAGGTATCTATTTAGTAGTGCAGATATTTATGGAGAATACACCTGGAGGTTGGGATTTTAAATCAAAGGCATTCACAATTCAAATTTGCCCTCCCAAATCCTAAATTAATTGCTACTTTCACAAAATTTTAAAGGCCAGCTCATGTCTATGTTTAGCTTTTCCAGACTCTTGACAGATGAAAAGAAATCCAATTCATTTTATGAAGCCACTTAACCTTACATTTGAAGAAGATACTACGATGTAAATCATAGACCATTTTTACTTAAGAATATGCATACTGCCAAAACGGATTTGGCTCAGTGGATAGAGTGTCGGCCTGTGGACTGAAGGGTCCCAGGTTTGATTCCGGTTGTGGGCACGTCCCCATTGGGGGTGTGTGCAGGAGGCAGCTGATTGATGATTCTCTCTCATCAAGGTTTCTAACTCTCTATCCCTCTCTCTTCCTCTCTGTAAAAAATCAATAAAATATATTTTCAAAAAAAGAATATGCATACTAAGTTTGTAAAAACATATTCTAAATAGAGCTTTAATGCAATGAATTGAGCATTTTTTAAAGTAATTTGTACATATGATAAAAATTCAAACAAAAGCTTTGTTTAACAAAAGGTGAAAAAGAATTCTTCCTGTCCACCTGTCCCCTCATCTCCATTTTTATACATTCTTCTAGATATCAGGTGTGCATATCTATCTTGAAATAATCATCCTTTATCTTTCTGATTTCTTATTTACATATGACAGCACATTCTGGTCCTTTTCATGATCATTTTCACTTCACTGTATTTGGTCAGCCCCAGATTTTCTCAAATTGACGCTCTTGACATTTGAGGCCAGATAATGCTGTGTCATAGGGGGCTTGAGGATGCATTGGAAGATATTCAGCAACATCGCTGACCTCTACCCTCTTGATGTCAGCACCCCCACCTCACATGGCAATGAAAATTTTTACAGACGTTGCCAACTCTTCCCTGGAGGACAAAAATCACCCAGGATTGTACCCCATTTACGAAGTGGCTGGTTGATAGCCCACTGGCTGGAAATACCATTACATATTTACCTTCTGTGATGTACATTGAGAATGTTTTGATGCCATAAAAAAAACACACACATAGCAATACATATCCATGTACATTTCAGTTTGTATCCATATCTGATCTGGAATATAACTTTCTAGAAGTGAGAATTCTAGGTCAAAGACTGTGTATCTTAAGTGTTGACAGTTTAGGGCTTCTAAGCCAGGTGGCCCCTGTCTTCTCTAGTGAGGTCATGGTCCCTAGCAACTGAGCTATCATTTGGGAAAAGTGAGAGGAGAGGGTTAGCTGCTCTGAGAACTGCTTTCTGCCTCATCCTTCTGCAGAGCTAAGTAACACTGATGCCATGTAATCCTATTGGAGCCTTGTGGGTGCAAAATGTTTCCTTGAATTCAAGACCACCAAGTGTTGGTGTGACAGTATAGAATGCAGAGTGTAAATAAATGGGTTATTGGTCTCTGACAGGAATCCGGGCACTTAGAAAAGTGAGATTTTGGCCCTAACCCGTTTGGCTCAGTGGATAGAGTGGCGGCCTGCAAACTGAGGGGTGCCAGGTTCGATTCCGGTCAAGGGCTTGTACCGTGGTTTCGGGCACATCCCCAGCGGGGGGTGTGCAGGAGGCAGCTAATCAATGTTTCTCTCTCACCGATGTTTCTAGCTCTCTATCACTCTCTCTTCCTCTTTGTAAAAAATCAGTAAAATATATTTTTTAAAAAAAGAAAAGTGAGTTTTTGTTTGGAGGTGACAAGCCAAACATAGACCTTCTTTTTTTTTACCTCAATCTGCTGACCAGGCCAGATACAGACCCTCCGGCTTCCTGTTTTGTTTTTCTTTTTTGTTGTTGTTGTTTTGTTTTTTATGATGGACTAGCTAAGATTAGAACTTCTGGTCGTTGTAAAGGAAAAACCCATTGAGTCCCTTCTGTATAAGGGAAAACCCAGTTCTTCCTCACCATGTCTTTCTTTCCTATATTTCTCATTTTTGGGTCTCTGTCACTATTCACACAGAACACTTCCCCTCTGCCACTTCCGGTCACCAAATGTGTGGAGACTTTTCCCCACAGCAAGCACTTCTGTGTCACTGGGTATCCTACAATCTAACTCATTTTTAACACTAGCTACCTGGAGATAGCATCAGTTCCCACAAGTTAAGGGCTCAGTCTCACAAACTGCCCACCACACCTGTGTTTCTGACCAAGCAGCTAGGGAACCCAGAGGTTCCAGTGACTCCCCATCTTGGTTAATTTGCTAGAGTGCCTCACAGAACTCAGGGAAACACAGGATATGATAAAGGATACAGATGATCTGCCAGAAGAAGAGCTACATAGGGTGACGCCTGGTAGGGTTCTGAGTGCAGAAGCTTCTGTCCTCATGGAGTTGTGGGGGTGGAGGACGATGTCACCCTCCCTGTATGTGGGTATGTCCACCCACCTGGAAGCTCCCTGAATCCCTTACTATAGGAATTCCTTCAAGACTTCCCCTCATACATACAATAATTATTAACATCATTTCCAGCCTGGTCCTTTCTCTGGAAGGTGGTGGTTGAGGCTGAAAATGCCAAGCTTCTAATCATGGCTTGGTCTTTCTAGTGACCAGCCCCCGATTTAGGAGTCAATCAAGAGTCACCTCTTTAGAACAGAAGGCGTTCCTAGTGATTTTAACATTTAGGAAATTATAAGGGTTTTAGGAGCTCTGTGCCAGGAACCAGGGAGCAGATACCAAATATACACTGAGTGGCCAGATGATGATGATCTCTGAGCGCATAATATTCTGGCCACTCAGTGCATATCCTATATAATAAAAGGCTAATATGCAAATTGTCCCCTCGACCAGGAGTTCAACCAGCAGGCAGGCCAGCCAACTCTCCACGTCCCCTCCCCCTGGCCAGGCTGGCCGGACCCCACCCATGCACAAATCCATGCACTGGATAATTTACATCTTCCTCTCTTCTGTTCATAGTCTTCTGTCACTGTCCTCTGAGGGCTGATAACCCTCCTTCCCTCTCACTTTCCCTCCCTCCCTCCATCTCATATATGAGTTTCTAAGTGTTCTTTACCTCTGCTACACTGAAGCTCCTTCCATTCAGGAGGTGTTTGTTTTTATTAATCTTTACATCCTTGAAACTTAACTGCTTGGTCCTATTCAATAATTATGGGTTAAAAGAATGAATTTCCAGGGTAAGATATTTCTGACACTTGATCTGTTTTTTCATAAAGCTTAAAATAATTGTTACATAAACACTTTATATCCTATACTATGTCAAACTGTGGACAGAGCACAGCATAAGGACAGTTATATAGAGGAAGGCAATGCAGTGTCCTGTATTAAAATGAAAGTGTGGAGATCTGGCCAAGTCTGCTCAGGGGATACAGCATCAGCCTGTGCACCAAAGGGTTGCAGGTTTGATTCCCAGTCAAGGACAGGCACTTGGGTTGCAGATTCGCTCCCAGCCCTGGGTTGGGGGTGCAGGTGAGAGGCAACCAACCGATGTGTCTCTCACATCAATGTCTCTCTCTCTCTTTTATTTCTCTTCTCTTCTCTTCTCTTCTCTTCTCTTCTCTTCTCTTCTCTTCTCTTCTCTTCTCTTCTCTTCTCTTCTCTTCTCTCTCTCTCTCTCTCTCTCTCTCTCTCTCTCTCTCTCTCTCTCTCTCTCTCCCCCCCCTTCTCTCCCTTCCTCCCTTCCACTATCTCAGGAAAGCAATGGAAAAAAATATCTCTGGTGAGGATTAACAAAAAAAAAATGTGGGTGTGGAAACCAGACCACATGGGTTTTAATCCTTAATTCCTAGGTGTGTGACCTTGGGTGAGTAACTTTACACTGTGGGTGCCTCACTATCTTCATCTGACAGGGTTCTGGGTGGGGGCAAGGATATAAATACTTAGGATAGGCACAGAGTATATATAAATCATATATATCTAGTCCCCCGAGCGCTAAAGAAAAATGTGCTGTTGTAGGAATCATTGACCTTCAGAGACGTGTTTTTGGACTTCACCTTGGAGGAGTGGAAGCAACTGGACTTTTCTCAGAAGAACCTCTACAGGGATGTCATGCTGGAGAACTATGGCCACCTGGTCTCAGTGGGTGAGGGACTGCTCCATGGTGTGGCTAGAATACCCCTATTCATGTCTCCCTCTCTCGGCTGTTGCATGCTCAGGGGTGTCTGAAGCCCTGAATGAATTCAGGCCTAAGGCTCACTGTCAAGAATTCATAATCCTGTTTGCACCCTGCACAGTATGTCTGTGCTCTTGCTTTCTATGTGCATGGTCTGCATGAGGGAAAAATAGCTGTGCTCATGAGACAGTCAAGACCAGACCATCTTTACCCTAGGCCTCAGTTCTAGACTGCCTCCAGCATCCTATCTAATAAAAGAGTAATATTCAAATTGACCACCACTCCAACACACAAGATGGCTGCCCCCAGGTGGTCAAAGATGGCTGCCCCCATGGGGACATAAGATGGCCACCACAAGATGGCCAACAGGGGAGGGCATTTGGGAGGGACCAGGCCTGCAAGGGCGGGGAGTTGTTGGCAATCAGGCCAGCAGGGGAGTGCAGTTGGGAAGAAATAGTTGGGGGCAGTTGGGGGCTATCAAGCCTGCAGAGGAGAGCAATTAGGGGTGACTAGGCCAGCAAAGGAGGGAAGTTGGGGGCAACTGGGCCTGCAGGGAAGGGCAGTTGGGGGTGACCAGGCCTGCTGGGGAGGGCAGTTAGGTTGACCAGGCCTGCAGGGGAGGGAAGTTAGGGGCAATCAGGCTGACAGGGGAACAGTTAGGCAACAATCAGGCTATCAGGGGAGTAGTTAGGGGGTGATCAGGCTGGCAGGCAAAAGCGGTTAGGGGCTAATCAGGAAGGCAGGCAGGCGATCTGTTGGGAGCCAGCAGTCCTGGATTGTGAGAGGGATGTCTGACTGCCCGTTTAGGGGCCCAAACGGGCAGTTGGAGATCCCTCGAGGGGTGTCAGATTGAAGAGGGTGCAGGCTGAGCTGAGGGACACACCTTCTGTGCACAAATTTTGTGCACTGGACCTCTAGTTAATAATAAAGTCCTGTGTCATTTCACTTCCACAGGATACCTGGTGGATACACCAGATGTGATCTTCAGGTTCGGACAAGGAAAAGAGGCCAGGAAGGAAGATGGAGAATCCATAATACAGAGCTGTCCAGGTGAGCCTGAGCTAGCCAGTCAGGACAGGGCCAGGAGAACACAGTAGAGCAGTGAGAGCTTGCCTTGGGCATGCCCTTGAGCTCTTCTCAGAGCCCCAGTCTTAAGGACAGGACTCAGGTTGAAATGAGTTGCTGTGATATCCACAGGACCCCCCCCCCCCCCCATACACTGGTTACCTAGCGAGAAGAGCCAAGCCTTTTCTTCTCCATCTTTTCTGGAACTTTCAGGGCTTTTCCCCTCTTAGACATTTGTATTGTCATCAGAATAGAAGTAGATGCAGGTATGATGTTTCCTCTTTATTTGCTATATGGTGGGCCCTTTGAGTCTGAAACTTGGAGTCTTCAACCTCAGGGAAATGATCCTACCTGGTTTAATAGAATCAGTGTGGACAAAAAGTTTTGGTAATGACCTTCAACTCTACCAGATTAGGTACCCATTTGTCTCTGCCAGCCCTTTGCGGTGAACAGGGTCAACATTTACACAGGTCTCTGTTTTCTCTCCTTATTTCCTCTAAGTCTCTTCCAAAACTGACTTGTGACTGCTTGTTTTCATATTCCTCCTCTTATAGGTACTTCCTTCCCACTCAACTCTTTTGTCTTTTGTATTATCTGTTTATTCAAAAAAGAAATAAAAATTGGACAGGACATTACTTCATGTTGGTAAGCTTCAGTGAGCCATACCTCAGTCCTGAACAGAGCTGCTTTTTTTCTTTATCTGTTTGTTTTTGCTCTGCACCCCTGATAGGGATTCAGGCACTCTTCAGATGTTAGTTTTCCTCTTTCTCCCCCACTCACAGTGCCACTCAGTGTGCCTCTTCCAAATAAGTCTGTCTGGAATGCTGCTACTATTCAATTTGGTTCTTGGACTAGCAACATGGTCAAGGCATGGGCTCCAAGAAGAAATACATCTCAGATTGACTGCATCTGAATTTGCTGTTAAAATTAGTGTCAGAGCTCCAGCTATAGTCAGATGCTGACCCAGCTGATCCCAAGTGACTCCTGGGTGCTTTTCCCAGATCCCATGCCTACTGGTCAGAGGCATCCTCTCTCTCAGAACCTTCCTGTACAGGAGGCATCCTCTCTCTCAGAACCTTCCTGTACAGGCAGGCACCCACCACTCTGTAGCTTCTCCCAGGAATATTTTGGGCTACAATTTCCTCTTTATTGCTCAGTCATTCCCATATCTACTGCCTTATAGAGATTCACCAGGAGTTCCCGTCTACTGATGGCATGCCTTTTCCTACTTCCAATGTTTCCAGGGATTGTAATGACTGAGTTCATTCTTATTTCAGTGGTATCCTGGAAAGAGGAAAAGCAAACTAGAGGCACAGTCCAGCTTGGAGTTCTGATTCCCTTATATAAAAAGTATACAATATTGCCCTGGCTGGTATAGCTCAGTTGGTTAAGCATCATCCTGTGCACTAAATGGTTCTATTCCTAGTCAGGGCACATACCCAGGTTTTGGGTTTGATTCCAGGTCCAGGGTCATATACGAGGACATGAATCAATGTTTCTCTGTAAATCAGTGAAAACATTTTTTAAAAGTATTCCTTCCTATATAATAAAATCCTAATATGCAAATCGACCGAACAATAGAACAATTGGTGGAAGGACCGGTCGCTCTGATGCACACTGATCACCAGGGGGCAGGTGCTTAATGCAGGAGCTGCCCCCAGCCTGCAGGTCTCAGGACAGCCAAGGCAGGTGCAAGTGGGGGTCCCCTGATTGTCCCAAATCACCCTGCAGAGGGAGGCAACCTATGGCAGCAGTGGGGGGGCAGGGCCAGTGAGTGGGTGATGCCAGGCCAGCCAAGGTGGGTGCCAGTGGGGACCCCCCAGTTGCCCCAACCATCGCCCCACAGATTGGCCCTGATTTCCAGCCAAACTTAGGGACTCTACCCATGCACAAATTTCATGCACTGGGCCTCTAGTTAAAGATATTAAAAGTAGTGAGGGCTCATGTTATGTAGGAGTTCCGAACAATATGTTATTCAGAGCAATCCTAGTGTGTTTCTAGTCATGCTTCAAGTGCAGCCTCTTCTCAGGGTTTCTGTTTTTAATTCTTGGGAGTTTTTAGTTTTGTCACCCTTCTGTGAAAGATAAGGATTTAGCTCAATTACACATTGACCTTCTGCTCCCAGCTTCTTCACAATTTTTTAAAAAATTATTTTTAGTTTCTTTAATTTGCTGGTTCTTTATGTTGGATAATTTTGGATTCTATCCTAGATACTGGTGATTGTTTTGTTTTTTAATATTCATTTATCATGTAATAAACCTGGTTAGATTCAGACCACTAGTTTCATCTCACCATCTGAGGGTGTTGATTACAGTCAGTTCAGTTTTCAAAACCTTCACTGGGCTTCTTTGGATCTGTGTTGTGTATGCACCTTTCAAGAATTAATGTAGCCGGGACCAGTTTGGCTCAATGGATAGAGCGTCAGCTTGGGGACTGAAGGGCCCCGGGTTCGATTCCGGTCAAGGGCATGTACCTTGGTTGTGGGCATATGCCCAGTAGGGGGTGTGCAAGAGGAAGCTGATCGATGACCCTCTCTCATTGATGTTTCTAACTCTCTATCTCTCTCCCTTCCTCTCTGTACAAAAATCAATAAAAAATATTTTTAGAAAAAAGAATTAATGTAAGACTTGAGTGATAGTTTAAGTCTTTGTACAATTTTCAAAGTCTTCGCTGTCCTGCTTTAGGTCTGTCTTATGCACATGTTACTCAGGTGTTAGTCTCAGACTTGAGCTGTGGTTTAAATCTTAGTTTAGTTTAATTCTTAAAGCTTTTGTATGAAGCTTTGCTTTCCTTGCATGCACAGCTCTTAGATGAGCTCATGTCTTATGGAGATTCAGATGCCAAAGTTTTGTGAGGAAAACCTGAGTGATATATAGCTGCTTTTCCACTTTCTGGTTCACCTTCAAGTATCTCTGCTTTTGTTTACTTGTTAGAATCCTCAAGTAGTTGCTTTACATATTTTGTCCAAAGATTTTAGTTGAAATGATCAATAGACATACTTCATTGTGGCCAGATGTAAAGACCTCAATTTAATTAATTCTGGGTTTTATCTTATCTCTGTCCTGCTGCTAGTTGGAATTTAATTTTCCCTTTTCCTAGTTGTATAAGATAGAAGCTTATATCATTAATTTGATAGCTTATTTTTCTAATATAAGCATTGTGAATGCTATGAAAGTCTTTAAGAACTGATCTAGCCGAAACCGGTTTGGCTCAGTGGTAGAGCATCGGTCTGCGGACTGAAAGGTCCCAGGTTCGATTCTGGTTAAGGGCATGTACGTTGGTTGCAGGCACATCCCCGGTAGGGGGTGTGCAAGAGGCAGCTGGTCGATGTTTCTCTCTCATCAACGTTTCTAGCTCTCTATCTCTCTCCCTTCCTCTCTGTAAAAAAATCAATAAAATATATATTAAAAAAAAAAAAGGAACTCTTACCCTTAAAAAAAAAATAAAGAACTGATCTAGCTGTTTTAACACATTTATTGCATAATTGACAAGAAATTGCACATATGTAAAGTGTACAATTTGATAAATTTTGACATGTACACACCCATGAATCTATCACCACAACCAAGATAATGAAGTCATAGATGAGTTGGAAGTATTTCTGCATCTCCAGTTCTGTGGAAGAATTTGTGTAAAATTGGTATTAGTTTTTACTTAAATGTTTGATAGAATTCCCTCGTGAAGGCATCTGGGATGGGCATTTTCTTTGTGGGAAGGTATTAAGCTACAATTTCAATTTCTTTGATATTGGATTATTCTTGAAATAATTTGGTAATTTGTATCTTTCAAGGAATTTGTTCATTTCACCTAAATTAGCATATAGTTGTTCATAATATTCCCTTATTGTCCTTTTTATTTTTTAGGATCAGTGGTAATCTCATTTTAGTTTTTAAAAAGTCTAATTGCATGTAGTAGTGAAAACTATGAACTTCATTTAAAACGAAATCTTTCCCCCCTTTCTCCCTTTTGAGTCCTGCTCCCCTCATTCCCTCCCTGGACAAACAATATCAAGAATATGGTGAGTATCCTTCTAATCCTTGTTTTTATACTTTAATAGATATCTGTCATTAATATAACATTCTTCTTGTAAATTTATCAGATTGGTGTTTTCAAACAATGGAGTCTTTCTACAACTTGCTTTCTGTATTCAGTGTTGCACTTTGAGCTTTACCTATGCTGATATGTTACATTTACTTCATTCATTTTAACTCTTGTATAGCATGCCAATGTCTGAGTATTATAGTTCATTAATCCATACCTCTATTGGTGAGCATTTGGTTCTTTCTACTGCTTTGTTGCCATTCTTGTACATGTATCCCGACTTACATTTGCAGAATTTGTCTATGGTGTCACTACAAGTGGAATGCCTAGTAGGTTATGTACATTTTCAATATCACTAGGTGTATTATCTCTTTTCTCTTATAAATAAGTTCAAATTGCCATTGTGTGCTTAAGAGGTTTGCATCTGTGTAAATCACATTTCTTTATAATATGCTCATATTCTGACCTTATTTGCTTTTGGCATTAAGTTCATTCTGTTTTGTATAATATTAAGCATTGTTTTACTATAATTTTATTTTCAACATTTCTCTCTCATTTTGTTCCAGTTGTCTTTTGAAAGCAAAGAGCTAATGTTTAAAAATACAATTTAATATGGTTAGATTTTAGTTAATATTTGTTTATTGTACTATTACTATATTTGTATTCCTTACTTGTTTGTATTTTATATATATATATATATATATATATATATATATATATATATATATATATATCCTGCTTTTTTTAACCTCTTTTTTTCTGCTTTTGTTGTATTTTCTTTACTTCCCTTTTCCCCTTTAGCCATCTTCCTCCTGAATATTTCAAGTACCAAGCATTATTCTTAACCATGAGTCTTTTCTTGTCCAAAAATGTCTATATTTGTCATCTTTCTTTGAAATAATTTCTCTAGGAGTAGAGTTATAAAATGATAGCTTCTCTCAGGATTTTGAAAATATCCTTTAATATTTTGGCCAATGACCAATCTCCCAAGAAGGCTTATAATTTCTCTATTTCTCTTAACATGTTTCTATTTTGTTAGCTCTTTATGCTACATTTTTGCGTTACTTGTCAAGTTCTGTCATCTAATTCATTAAATCTGTCTTTATCTGTGACTAGTTCAACATCTCTAGTTTAACAACACCTATATATTCTTTTATTTTTATATTTGTTGTCCCAAAATTTCCTATTTTTCACCCGTAATCCAATTCTTACCTGATTTTTTTTTGTATACTTAAAATGTATTTATTTTTAAATCCATATATTTCTAGGAATGTGGGATTATCTGTAAATGTGTCTGCTAATTCTCTCTCACAATGATTCATTTCTTTGTGAGGTTTTTAATTGTCTACTGTGAGCTCTTCAGTGAGAACTGGTTTTCCATAGATGGTCTGTGAGCCCTAAACTATAAAAATATAACAATATACCTTTTAGAAAGTTTGCCATTGCTAGGAACCTACTAATAACAGGACCAATTTTCAGGTTAATTTTCAGATTGTTGTTGTACTACACTGATAATCACTTGAATTGGGTTACAGAACTAGGTTTTTTGTTTCTTATACACTAGTGGCCTGGTGCATGAATTTCGTGCATGGGGGGGGCGTTCCCTCAGTCCAGCCTGTGCACTCTCACAGTCCTGGACCCCTCACCCCCTCACTCTTTGCTGCCTGACTTCTCGCTGATCCTTCTGCCACCGCTGCTACTCTCACCACCAGTGAGCCTGGCTTTTGGCTGAGCTACACACCCCCTGTGGGAGCACACTACCACCAGGGGGAAGCTCCTGCATTGAGCATCTTCCCCCAGATGGTCAGTGAGCATCATAACAACCAGTCTGGTTGTTCTGCCGTAAGCGTTGCTTAGACTTTTATAATATAGATAATATCCTTATTTTCAATTCCCTTAACCAGTGGGGAGTCCTTCTAGTTCCTGTTAAACATGGAAACACATTGTGATTCCAGCTTTAAGTGAAAATTATATTCTGAACATTTGTGCCCTGTGATCTGGAGTCCCTTGCAAATCCTCAAGCTTCAGTTTCTGTTCATCCCTCCACTTTAAATTCCCACTTCATTGCTCCCATGTAATAAGTTTATTTTCTTGATTTTGAGCTTGACTGTGTTTAAAATTATTTTTGTTAAATATAGGACAGCATTTATTTGCCTTTTCATTTGGTAGTGGTGGAGGAGCATAAAGAGGGTCTATCCACATCAGCTCAAATCTATTGATAGAAATTCTCAGTGGAGTGTTTATGAATTAATTTTATCCCAGAACATTATAGTAGGAGCATTTACAAGTTTGATGATTTATTGCATTTTTTCCCTAGAATTCTGGCAAGTTGATGACCAGAAAGATAATCACAAGGAAAGCCAAGATAAATCTCTGTGGCAAGCTACATTTATACATCAGGAAACACTGAAGGATGCAAGTGACCAAGAAATAAGAACATGCAGAAAAAATATTTATCGCAGCACAGACTTTGTTTCTATAAGACAAAGACTCCTTAAACATTATTCATGGGAAAGATGTTTAAAACATAATTTTAATTATATTAGTCAAAATAGAAGCTATGGAAAAAAGAAAGATGATGAATAGCAGGCATATTGGGAATTATGCTTCCATTCTAATATTGATAAAATTCAACCTGGAGAGAAAAATCTTTGAACCTAAATACCATGGAAACCCTTCCACCATAAACAAGCCCTTAAAAGTCAGAGAATTTAAACTGGGGAGAAATCCTATGAATGTTCTGACTGTAGAAAAGCATTTATCCAGAAAGAAAACCTTGCTTTTCATCAGAGAACTCACACTGGAGAGAAACCTTATGAATGCTGTGAATGTGCAAAAGCCTTCAGCCAGAAGTCAACCCTCATTGCACACCAGAGAACGCATACAGAGGAGAAGCCCTATGAATGCAATGAATGTGTGAAAACCTTTATCCAGAAGTCAACTCTAATTAAACATCAGCAAACTCATACAGGAGAGAAATCATTTGTATGTGGTGAATGTGCCAAAGCTTTTAAGAGTTCATATCACCTTATTAGACATGAAAAAACACACATTAGACAAGTATTTTATGAAGGTATCAAATGTGGTAAGTCAAGCCTTATACATCAGAAGACTCAGGTGAGAAACCCACCCCCATGAACATCAGAAAATGCATACAAAAGAGAAAACTTATGAGTGCAACGAATGTGGAAAAAGCTTCAGGCGGACCTCTCTGTTAATCAGAGAATTCACACAGGAGAAAAACCTTATGAATGTAGCATATGTGGAAAGACTTTCAGTGGAAAATCACATCTCTCTGTCCATCATAGAACTCATACAGGAGAGAGACCTCATGAATGCAGAAGATGTGGCAAAGCCTTCCGTGGGAAATCAACTCTCATTAAACATCAGAGAAGTCATTCATGAGATAAAACCTCTTAATCAGTAGTAGTTATATCAATTCATCCTCAGAAATAACTCTTAAAGTTCAGAAATTCTTCATATAATATTTAATGTTCATTTAATAAAATGTACAAAAGTATAATTGCAGAAACATATAATAAATGTGATCAATTTTTCACCCAGAATTCTTATGCATGCATTGCAAATTGTATATCAGAGTTCAAAAGTGACAAAACTGTGTCTTGGTGTTGAAAAGCCTTTGGAGAGAATTGAAATGTCATTGCTTATCAGAGTATTTATGCTGTGGAAAAACTAAAGATTTAATGAATTTATAAAACTGTTGTAAATTAGGAGAGAATCCAAACGTTGTGGAAAAGGTGCAGAGACTGCAAATAAGCACTCATTAGTAACACTAAGATATATTCATTGTGGAATAAAGTCTGACATTTTAAAAAGAACAGTACACTAAAGCATAAAATATAAATCCTAGCTAGGGCAAACTCCCAATGTATTTCTTAAATAGAGTGAGAAAGGATGGGTCAGCATGATTCATGAGAGGAACTCAAGCAGAAGATCTTCCACATATTCAGTGCGGAATCACAAACACAGAAAAGACATATAGTAAGCTTTGACACAACTTGCTTAGGAATGCTGATTACATCATAATATTTTGCCTTTTAAGAAAAGTTAAATCATTTTATGGTTACACTAGAGGCCCAATGCATGAAATTTATGCAAGAGAAGGCCTTCCTTCCCCCCAGCTGCTGACACCAGCTGCCAGCACTGGCTTCTCTCTGGCATCTGGAACCCAGGTTTCCCTCTCGCCACCAGAAGGCACCTGGGACCTGGGCTTCCCTCGCAGCTCTGGTTTTGTCCAGATAGTCATCCAGAAGGACATCTGGTCTAATTAGCATATTATACTTTTATTATTATAGATTTTATGCCTCATTTTATGAGGCAATGAAAGATTTTTAATTTTTAGTGAATCTACCATCACAGCAATATTATTTAAAATAGCAAAAAAATTGAATATTCAATGATGGGCAATTGATTGAAGCTATACCAAAGAGGTGGAATAACAAACCAATTAAGCATGATCCTGTTTGGGGGAAATGTTCACCCCCTAAGCACTCCCCTGCCAGCCTGATAACTGCTCCCCTGCCAGCCTGATCACCCCTTAACCACTCCCCTGCCAGCCTGATTGATGCCTAACTGCTCCCCTGCCAGCCTGTTTGCCCCTAACTGCCATTCCCTGTAGGCCTGGTCACTCCTAACTGCTCTCCCTGCAGGCCTGGGTACCCCCCCCAACTGCCCTTCCCTGCAGGTCTGGTCACCCCAACTTCCCTCCTATGCCAGCCTGGTGACCCCTAACTGCCCTCCCTGCAAACCTGGTCCCCCCAAACTGCTCTCCACTGCAGCCCTGGGTCCCCCCAATTGCCCTTCCCTGCATGCCTGGTCACCCGCAACCTCCTTCCTCTGCTGGCCTGGTCCCTCCCAACTGCCCTCCCCTGCTGGCCATCTTGTGATGGCCATCTTGTGTCCACATGGGGGCAGTATCTTTGACCACATGGGGGCAGCCATCTTGTGTGTTGGAGTGATGGTCAATCTGCATATTACTCTTTTATTAGGATAGAAGCCTATTAGGGTGGGGGCAGGCTGGTCTGCCCTGAAGGATGTCCCAGATCAGGGTGGGGGTTCCCTTGGGGTGTGGGGTGGCCTGGGCAAGGGACCTGTTGTGGTTTGCAGGCGGGTATCTGGAATTTATTTATCTTCTACAATTGAAATGTAGCCTGGAGGGGAGCCAAGCCTTCTGCTTGCTCTGTGGCAACAGCCATTTCTGTTAGGGTTTATGTATCTTCTATAATTGAAACTTTGTAGCCTTAAGCAGAGACATGGGCTGGCCAGGGTGTATGGAAAGCTTGGCTTCCTCCATTGCTAGGGACAACCCTAGCCTCCCGCTCTTTCCAGCTCCGTGGCTGCCACCATTTCTGTTTGGATTTGTTTACCTTCTATAATTGAAACTTTGTAGCCTTGAGTGGAGGCCTAGGCCAGCAAGGGCAGGCGGAAATCTTGACTTCCTCCATTGCCTGGGAAACCCAAGCATCCCTCCTGCTCTCTGTGGCTGTAGCCATCTTGGTTGGGTTTATTTGCATATTCTCTTCTGATTGACTGGTGAGCATGGCTTATGGGTATAGCAGAGTGATGGTTAATTTGCATATTACTCTTTTATTAGATAGGATTGATTTTAGAAAGGAAGGGAGAGTGAGAGAAACATCCATCGGTTGCCTCCTATACACTCCCCAACCAGGGATCAAACCCACAACCTAGATATGTGCCCTAACCCGGAATCAAACCCACAACCTTTTCAAAAAGATATATATTTTTATTGATTTCAGAGAGGAAGGGAGAGGGAGAGGGAGACAGAAACATTAATGATGAGAGAGAATCATGGTTCAGCTGCCTCCTACATGCCCACTACTGGGTATTCAGCCAACAACCCAGGCATGTGCCCTTGACTGGAATCAAACCCAGGACCCTTCAGTCCACAGGCCAACCCTATCCACTGAGCCAACCTAGCTAGGGCAAACCTGCAACCTTTTTATGTAGGGGGGACACACTCCAACCAACTTAGCCACCCAACCAGGGAGGTATCCCATTGGATTTTTATTTCTCTGAGGGAAAATGGCGTTGGACATCTTTTCATATGCTTATTGGACATTTCTATATCTTCTTCTCATAAATGTATATTCACATTCTTTATCCATTGCCTTTATTTTTGAAAAACAGTTTTTGCTAAATATAGAATTGGCTGTTGACACGTTTTCTTCTGGCACTTTGCATATATTCTTGGTGCTTCCTACTCCTATAACACTGCTTTCTGCCCTCCACTGTTTCAGATGAGAAATAATTGTGATTCCCTTGCATATAATATGATGTCCTTGTACCCAATGAGTCATTTTTCTATTGTGGCTTTTAGTATTTTGTTTTTGGCTGTCAATGGTTTGAATATTATATGTTTAGGGATAGAGATCTTTGTGTTTATCACACAGGAAATTCATTAAACTTATTTTATGTCTAGATTAATATTTTTCATCAAATCTAGGGTTGTTTTAAGCATTATTTCCCCCCACCCCCATTTTTCTGCCCCTTTCTCTTTCCTTCTGGCCAATATCCAGGGTCCTGAAATGATTGTTTTTTACAATTTTGTCAGTTTTACCATTGCTTCTCATTGAGCCATTTTGGAAGTTCCACCTATACAATAGCTAATTTTAATACCTAATACTTCCATATCAACCGCAAACAGCTGAAAACAGGGGGCAAGTGGACCTGAGAAATAGTTGCTTGTTAAACCATTTAAAGGAATAGTTTATCTGAATTGCCCATTGGAGAAAGCATATTCTCAAACAAAGCAAAGTTATGAGTAATATTTGCTTATGTGACCTGGTAATTCTTCACTAACTGAACTAGTATAATCATCTTCCTAAAAGAAAAGCTCTATAATCCTTAGTTAATCATGTTGACTGGGAAAAAATAATTCTTCACACAACAAAGTTGAATTGTACATTTTTTCTTCCTCCAGCAGATGGTGACATTTTATAGAATATGGATAAATTGTCCAGACCAGTAAGCCAAGTGACTAAAATAGAATTGTCTCTAGTTTGTTTTGTCTATCTACATCTTGAATTCATTTACAAAATAGCATTCATCAGGAAGTCACATTTATAAAAGAAGATCAAGAATAAAAAAAAAATCATGACCAATATTGGCAGTGAAATTTTTCAAGTTCTTCAACGCTTATCTGCATTGTGTGTTTTCACATTTGGCATGTAGTCACATCAGCCTGCCTGTATACAAAAATAGAACAGCAAGGACAGAATGCTGAAGTGGGCAAGTTTTCCTTTATATAACGTCCATCTCTGATACCTCTTCATTTCTTTCTATGTGAGTTTCACATCTAATGAGATATCACAGACTGAGATGTGGACAAAAGGCATTTCAGACAGAGGGAACACCTTGAGCTCAGATTTAGAAGCATCAAACTATTTGACATTTTTGCCAGACCCAGAACAGTTTGGCTAGAACACACCATAAAACACACAATGTACCAACCAAACTGGAGTGGAGGATAGAAGAGGAAGGAAGTGGTGGGAAGTGAGACTGTAAAGATAGGTTGGCGCAGATTATAAAATCTTTAGAAGGCATGCTAATGAGTAAGGACAACACTATGAGAAAGCTTTTGAAGTCTGCTAAGGAGTGTGAAGTTGATCTTGTGGGCCTCAGGGAGCTGTATTATAAAGGAGTGAACACATAAAAAGTGAGTGAATCAGAGAGACCATATAAAAATGATGGATCACACAATGCTGGAAAGGAAAAACAGTGTGGATTGATGAACGATGACATCTTGCATGGAAAAGGGTTAATGATGGAGCCATATTTAGGAGGCATTCACATGATAGGTAGACTATAAGCTAAGGTGCATGGCTGGATGTGCTATCTAAGAAAAGGATAGGCATGTACAAAGATGACTATGTAATAATAGCATTATGCAAAACAGGAAATTCATAAGGAATAGAGGGTTGTAAAGGATTTGGTTTTAGGACAGTGGTTAGCAAACCACAGCTCATGAGCCACATGCGGCTCTTTGGCCCCTTGAGTGTGGCTCTTCCACAAAATTTTGAAGAAGTGGTGTTAGAAGAAGTTTAAGTTTAAAAAATGTGGCTCTCCAAAGAAATTTCAGTCATTGTACTGTTGATATTTGCCTCTGGTGACTAATGAGTGCCGACCACTGGTTTAGGATGAAATGAATTTGAGGTGGCTGGAGGGCATCATGGTGGAGTTGCTGGGACAAAAGTAGAATTATGAGATTAATGAGTTTAAGAGAGAAATCTGGAAATGATATTTTAGTGAACAATTAAAACTTGCTTGGAAAGGCCATGCTACTTGAGTCCCAGGTGGTTTAATAAAATGAGAAAAGGACTCTAAAGATAGAGCTTTGGGATTCCCAATATTTTTGGTTAGGTGGAGACTATGTAGGAGATTAATAAGCAGCCAGTTTGGCTCAGTGGACAAAGCATTGGCCTTTGGACTTAAGGGTCCTGGATTCGATTCTGGTCAAGGGCACATACCTTTGTTGTAGGCCCCCATGCATGTGTGAGGCAACTAACTGATGTTTCTCTCTGTGTGTCTCTACCCATCCCTTCTACTCTCTCTAAAGAACAATGAAAAAAAAATATCCTCAGGTGAGTATTAATAACATTAAAATTAAAGAAAAGAAGGAGCCACTTGGGAGGTAGTAAGGAAACTACAGGGAATGGGGTCATGTTTGAAGAGAAAGATTGTAAGTAACCTTCTCACAGTACAACTTTTCTATTTGTGGGAAATAGAATGGTATACAGTGATATCCTAACAATCTTTCTAGAATAATCCCTTTGGCCAGAGCTTGGAAACCTGTCTGGTCCTCAACATGCTAGAAAGCCAATCTCTTAAGAATATGAAAAACTGAGCATAACATAAATTAACTAGAGGCCCAGTACACGGGTCCATGCACATTGAAAGGAAATGAATTAGAAGGTGGCCAGTGGGGCGGGACTGGGCAAGACAGGCTGGACATGCCCTGAAGCCAACCTCCCGCCATCCTTCCCCAGCCGGCTGCACCTGGGGCAGCACCAGGACTCGAAGGGTGTCTGTGGAATGAGTGGGGTCCCTCTGGCAGGTGGGGTCCCTCAGCCTGGCCTTGGGGATTGGGCCAAAACTGGCAGTCCGACATTCCCTGATGGGTCCCAGAGTAAGAGGGCACTCTGCAAAGTTGCTGTTGCTCAGCAGCTCCTGTGTTGAGCGCCTGCCCCCTGGTGGTCAGTGTGCATTTTAGAAACTCTTCGATCTGTTATTCAGTTGTTCAGTCCCTTAGGCTTTTATATACATAGATTAAAGTTTGAGATGTACTAGTGTAGGATATCCTTTCTCATCTGTCTGGTGGTTGGGAGGCTGGTTGGTTTGGGACGCGTCAGCTGGAAAGGCTTATTCTCTGATCTACTAGTATGTGGCTAGCCCAGGCTTCTTCACACGGCAACTTCGGGGTTTCCAAGAGCAGTAAGGGAGAAATCCCCACAGTGGAAGCTTTTTCCAAGCTTCTTCTTGTGACACATTTGCTATTATCCCTTTAATCAATACAAGTCACAAGGCCATCCCAGAGTCAGTGTGGGTAGGTATTGCCAAAGGGCGTGAAGAGAGGAGGATACAACTTCGTGGTTATTGTAAAACCTATGACACTCTACTGGAGTTTAGGCTTTGTGAATAAAACACCAGTGACCTTTGCACTCTGCTCAGCCATATCCCTCCACCTATTTGCATAAAAGAAGACAGGAGGGTGGATATAAGAACAATATAAGAACACGGAGAAGGAAAAAGTTATAGATTTACATTGGAAAATATATTCTTACCACAAAGGAGAAGATGGGTACAGATGTAAGTGGATATGTAGGTCTGGCATCAGAAAAATGAGAGAGCATCTAAAACAGTTTCATTTTCTCTGTGAAGTAGGAGGTAAGGTTATCTGTTGAGATGGGAAGGAGTCGTGGAAGGCAAAGAGAGGTATCAAAGGTCTAAATAGTATAGACGTCTTCTTCTAGAAGGTTTGAAATAGTCATAATCTGACTTGAGTGTGGAAATTGACTTGGAAAGTACAGGATCTCAGGGATCATTTGAGAGTGATGATTATGACTATCTTCATGCAATCTGTCCTGTAGGGAAACTATTTTTTAAAAAAATATATTTTATTGATTTTTCACAGAGAGGAAGAGAGAGGGATAGAGAGTTAGAAACATCAATGAGAGAGAACCATCGACCAGCTGCCTGGGGATGTGCCCGCAACCAAGGTACATGCCCTTGACCGGAATTGAACCCGGGACCTTTCAGTTCGCAGGCCGACGCTCTATCCACTGAGCCAAACTGGTGCCAGCTGTAGGAAAAATTTTTGCAACAGTGTCTGCAGGCACAGAGAGAGCAAAACGCAGGGTTTGGGAGATTTTGCTATATAAGTAAGTAGAAGACAGGAACACGGAGTTTAGGTTATTGGCAAAAGTATTGTTAAAATAATGGTCTAGGGTCTTTTGCTGAATATGAAAATGAGTAGAAAATGGGGGTACGTAGAGAGGATTTGAGCAAGCGATTGAAAGGAGACGGAATTGTGGACAGAACATGGATGTTTGAACTAGTGATTTCACAGGTGGAGCAGTTTCTGTGGTGAAACAGATAAGACCTTTTGAGATATTCTGACTTCTCCAATTTGAACAGCTTTCCCTTGTGATGAGAATTGCTTAATATCTTCCATTAGCCATACAATACCTCTGTCAAAGGATACTCATTATTCTTGCTCATTATCCTGACAAACAAAGCAAAAACTATCCTTTTTAGTTCCATTTTGGCTTTCAGGAACTCACAGTTTAGTCTGCCTCTTGCACTTCCTGTCACTTTTTCATCCATCCTTGAGTACACGACCTGCCTCACGGGTCCTCTAAACACCGAGCTTTTGAGAAACTCCTCCATCTTCCCACTATGATTCTGAAATATTTTTTTTTTTCTCACTTGGGTCAGAAGAGTCTAGAAACTTCACCAAGACCACATCTTAACAACTAAATGCGCCCTGTGAATGCAGTCGTGCCTCGGAGTTCTCTGGACCACCATGCCACGTGCAATTTTCTCCCCCCCTCCCCGCCCCCGCCCGCCCCCTATCCTCACCGGAGGGTGTGTCTTTATTGATTTGAGAGAGAGGAAGGGAGAAATAGAAACACCGGTTAGGTGCCTGGCAGGGGATCAAACCCGAAGCCTAGGTGTGTGCCCTCCCAGGGAATGGTACCTGCAATCTTTGGGGTATGAGGCGATGCTCCAACCCCCTGAGCCACCCGGCCAGGGCGCAGTGGTGTATTGTTATCTCCAGTGGAGAACCCTGACGCCCATTCTGGGAGGATGTGGACACTGGATGCAGGAACCTGTAAACCGTGTGGAGGAGAGTCTGCCCGCGATGGAGGTGGCCAGGCAGGGGACATGTGACGGGAGAGGCAGTGGAGATGTCCGGGTGTGGGTCACGTCCCATCACCCGGTACATTCCGTACATGAGCCCCTCTCTTGCCTGATGTTAACTCATGGGGACTTGACTTCATTACGGAGGACTTCGGGGAAAGGTGGGGTCTGGCTCCATGCACCCCAGCCGGCGACTCCACCCCCCACCACTCACCCTGGCAACTCCGCCCAGCGGGGAGGGAGGCGGGGAGAGGCTGCGGGCGGGGCGGCGGCTGCCAAGGCGGCCAATAGGCGGCTGAGCCCGGGGACCGGGGCGCCGCCTCCCGAGTCTCCCCTGCGGATGCCCAGCCGGGTGGCTCCGCTCCTCCCGGCTCAGAGGCGGCCCAGAGGGGCCAAAGGAGCGGACTCCAGTCTGGGCTTCTGAGCGAGGGGAGCGGCCTGGCGCCCCGATCGCCCTGAGGTCGGGGAACATGAAGAGCCGGCGGCGGCGGCGCAGGGAGCACTGCAAGTTCGCGCTGCTGCTGCTGCTCTACACGCTGGTGCTGCTGCTCATCCCCTCCGTGCTGGACGGCGGCCGCGACGGCGACAAGGGCGCCGGGCACTGCCCGGGCCTGCACCGCAGCCTGGGGGTGTGGAGCCTGGAGGCGGCGGCGGCCGGAGAGCGGGAACGGGGCGCGGAGGCGGCGGCCGAGGGGCCAGCGGGCCGGCCCCCCGGGTCCCCGGGCAACCTGAGCCGCGCCGTCGGGGACGCGGCGCCGGGGGAGAAGCAGCACATCTACGTGCACGCCACCTGGCGCACCGGCTCGTCCTTCCTGGGGGAGCTCTTCAACCAGCACCCCGACGTCTTCTACCTGTACGAGCCCATGTGGCACCTGTGGCAGGCGCTGTACCCGGGGGACGCCGAGAGCCTGCAGGGCGCGCTGCGCGACATGCTGCGCTCGCTCTTCCGCTGCGACTTCTCGGTGCTGCGGCTGTACGCGCCATCGGGGGACCCCGCCGCGCGCGCCCCGGCCTCGGCCAACCTCACCACGGCCACCCTGTTCCGCTGGCGGACCAACAAGGTCATCTGCTCGCCGCCCCTGTGCCCCGGCGCCGCCCGCGCCCGCGCCGACGTGGGGCTGGTGGAGGACGCGGCGTGCGAGCGCAGCTGCCCGCCCGTGGCCCTGCGCGCCCTGGAGGCCGAGTGCCGCAAGTACCCGGTGGTGGTCATCAAGGACGTGCGGCTGCTGGACCTGGGCGTGCTGGTGCCGCTGCTGCGCGACCCGGGCCTCAACCTCAAGGTGGTGCAGCTGTTCCGGGACCCGCGCGCAGTGCACAACTCCCGTCTGAAGTCGCGCCAGGGGCTGCTGCGGGAGAGCATCCAGGTGCTGCGCACCCGCCAGCGCGGCGATCGCCTCCCCCGCGTGCTGTTGGCGCCCGGCCCGGGCGGCCGGCCCGGGGGCGCCCCGTCCCGCGCGCTGCCCGCCGCGCCCCGCGCCGACGTGTTCCTGAGCGGCGCGCTCGAGGTGATCTGCGAGGCCTGGCTGCGGGACCTGCTGTTCGCGCGCGGGGCGCCCGCCTGGCTGCGGCGCCGCTACCTGCGGCTGCGCTACGAGGACCTGGTGCGCCAGCCCCGCGCGCAGCTCCGCCGCCTGCTGCGCTTCGCCGGCCTCCGCGCCCTGGCCGCGCTCGACGCCTTCGCGCTCAACATGACGCGCGGCTCGGCCTACGGCGCCGACCGGCCCTTCCACCTGTCGGCGCGGGACGCCCGCGAGGCGGTGCACGCGTGGCGCGAGCGCCTGAGCCGCGAGCAGGTGCGCCAGGTGGAGGCGGCCTGCGGCCCGGCCATGCGGCTGCTCGCCTACCCCCGCAGCGGGGAGGAGGGCGACGCCGAGCCCACCCCGGACGAGGAGGCGCCAAGGGAGGTGGAGGCCGATGGGGCCACGTAGCATCCCATCCGCATCCCGGGGGAGAGCCCGGTAAGGCGGCCTGGGGCGGGGAGGGGCGGAGAGGGGGCTTGGGGAGCTGGGACCAGCCCGCAGGGGAGGGAGGGGTGCCGTCCCAGGTCTCACCGCCTGTCCCCGCCAGGGAGGGCCCTGAGATGACAGAGGTTAGGGATGGCCAGCCTGAACCCGGGTCTCCGTACTCCCAGTCCCCCCCCCCCCCCCCACGAAGCAGGAGCCAAGGTCATCTGTTGAGAATTGGGGGAGGGGGAGGGGGACGGGGAGGAGAGGTCTGGGGAGAGCAGAGGAGGTATGAGAGTCATACATGCAGGATTGGGGACCGTTTGAGGTTGCTGACGATGACTTTATCCTGATGGCCATCTGTGCTGTGGGAAACTTTTTGCAAGTGTCTGCATGGGTAGGTGGAAGGTTATTGATTCTGATCCTACCTCCCCCAGCCTGTTTCATATTTCTTCTCTGCCTCTGTCTCTCTGATGTGCAGGTTCCAGAACTTTCCTTCTGAGTTCCCAAGCACACAGGCATAGTCAGGCCTCTCTCTCTCTCTCTCTCTGAATATATATTTTATTGATTTTTTACAGAGAGGAAGGGAGAGGGGTAGAGTTAGAAACATCAATGAGAGAGAAACATCCATCAGCTGCCTCCTGCACACCCCCTACTGGAGATGTGTCCGCAACCAAGGTACATGCCCTTGACTGGAATCGAACCTGGAACCTTTCAAGTCCGCAGGCCGACGCTCCACTGAGCCACACCAGTCAGGGCTCAGGCCTCCCTTGCACCAGCTTTGGCCCGGTGTGCCTCAGGCTCTGGTATAGTGGCGAAGAATGCACTTAGCTTCCCCCTGGCTCATGTGGAGCCTCCCCTGCCCCCATGCCTGGTGTTTGCAGGGCGTTTGGCCATATCCTCTGGAGCCGGGAGACCTCAGGGCCGGGGCTTCCCCTGGCTGCATCCCATCCGGTCCAGAGATGGAAGCTCAGATAGGCAGCAGCTTTGGCTGCAACTGCAGAAGGAGCTTTGTGAAAAGACACCTCCCCCCCCCATTTGTTTTGTTCTTTCTCTGTAAAGTATACATCCGGAGATGCTCACATCGGGCTTGGATTATCTCAGAATGTGTTCAGTGTCTGGTCAGCACATTGGGCGAGGGAAGAGTGTCCTGCATGAGGCTGGTTGGAGGAGTCTGGTTAGTGGCATGGGGGTAGGGTCCCCCAAACTGGGTGGGAGTTAGGAGGGTGACGCTTTCTGCGCTGTGCAGTCCAGAGGAAGGAGAAAAGCAGTGCCGGCGGGAGGAAGTGACTTCAGTTTCCATTCATTATTTTATAGTAGAATTCGCTACTCCCCCGGGATCCCGCTCTGAGGACAAAGTTGAAGATGTTAATGGAGGTGGATATTGTTGTTCAGAGAGCCGGGCTTCAGAAGCTGGCTGAGTTTTCTCCCAGTAACCCAGTGGTTTTCTATGTCAGTTTCTGTCATTTCTGGGAAGTCTGTGTTCCTTCCTGATTCCCAGAGTAAAGGAAGGTAAGGCACAGGGCGACTTGTCCCATCTTAACAAAACATCCTTTGATCTTGGGATCCTGTATTTTCAGATGCCAATAACATCATGGTCCCTACCCTCCTTCAGGGGCCAGAGGGACCCCTCTCCAGGGCAAACGCTGCATTTTATGACTTTCTGAATGGACAGTCTCCCAGAAACTTTCACTCCTTCCCCCCCATTTAAAAAATATTTTTTTATTGATTTCAGAGAGGAAGGGAGAGATAGAAACATCAATGATGAGAGGGAATCATGGATCGGCTGCCTCCTGCAAACCCCCTACTGGGGATTAAGCCCGCAATCCCGGCCTGTGCCTTTGATCAGGAATCCCCAGTTTTATTAACATTTATTGAGTGCTGATTGGGGTGGGATCAGAAACCGAACAGAGAGGAGGGATGGAGAACAAAGCATCTTCTGGAAAGATATGAAGGTGGCATGGGGGAGACACTGGTGCTACAGGGGCATCCGGGAGCCAGTTTTAAGCTCTTCCAGACTTTGTGACTAATACCTTCCTCCCACATTTCTGCTGGGATTATTGAGCACTTACCATGTCTCCACCAACGTTACTGACCCGCTGATGGGTTTCTAAAGCCCTGTCAGGCTCTAGGGAAGAGAACGGATCCTTATGTACCATGCATTGAGTGGGACATTGTACATGTATCATTATTTGGACATGCTATTAATTTTACAGATGAGGAAGCTGAGACTCAGAGAGGTTAAGTCATTTGCCTGAAGTCACACCTGGGCTGGCGAGGGTGAAGCAGCTTTGGTGTTTGAGCCTAGAGCTTAGAATCCCTCTATTATAGCACACACTTACCTGGCCTCCCTTAGCATCCCCTGGCAGCGCCATTGGTACTCCAGCCAGCTGAGACTAATCTGGAATAATAAACACATTTAGCTTTATTACTAAGATTCCTGCAATAGGGCTTCCTGCTGCTGTCTCCACTACCCTGCCTGCTTCCCTCCCTTCTCCGAAGTTTCACTCCCTTCTGCAGCTTGGCTTCTTTCTATGCTGCCTTCAGTCTTCACTCTGGCCTGGATATGCAAGTTAACCGCCATCTTGGTTGGGTTAATTTGCATACTCACTCTGATTGGCTGGTGGGCGTGGCTTCTAGGTGTAGGGAAGGTACTGTCAATTTGCATGTTTCTCTTTTATTAGAGATGATATCTTCCAACTACTGAACAAATCAATAAAATATCCTGGGGCTGCCAACAACAATCTCCTCAGGATAGCTGGCAACTCTCCAGCCAGCCTCCCCATGGCTGGCCTTCTGGGGCATCTGACCATGCCCTCAGCTCATCAGTGAAGAAGGGCTACACATTAATTGGCCTGAGTAACTTCTGGATGGTCCAGACCTGACAACCAGGGTTTGCCAGGGAGGGAGTCGGTGCAATTTTTTCAGGGATGGATGGGAACCTCGGCACCCTCCATCCAGTTACCAAGGACCCAAGCTCTTTCCATCTTTTGCATCTTTTTGGATTTCATGCATCAGCTTATCTTCCCACTGTCACGAGATGGTAGCCTCAGCAACAAGCATCACTTCCTTGCACAACTACTAAAATGCAGAAAGGAGCCCCAGCCGGTTTGGCTCAGTGGAGAGCGTCAGCCTGCGGCCCCAGGTTGATTCCGGTCAAGGGCATGTACCTTGGTTGCGGGCACGTCCCTAGTAGGGGGTGTGCAGGAGGCAGCTGATCGATGTTTCTAGCTCTCTCTCCCTCTCCCTTCCTCTCTGTGAAAAAATCAATGAAATATATATATATATATATATATTTAATGCAGAAAAGAAAGAAACTGATTAGCAAGTAAGGAGTGGAAGAGTTTTTCCCTATCTGTCTCTCTTTCCTTCAATCTGGTTATAGAAACCTTTCCCAGAATCCCCTGCCCCCAGCCAGCTTCCTTTATGTCTCACTGGCTAGAATTGAGTGGTCCAAAACCTCGGTGAAAGTGACTAGGATCATCATGTTTGGACACATGACATTCACCTGCGGAGCTCTTGTTTCTAATGTCAACACCTGAGCTTATTGATGTAATTGGTCCGGCACTGGGATGTTTTAAAAAGTTCCCCAGGTGAATGTACTGGAGAGAGATGTTGAGGACCACTGGCTTAGACCAGTCATGATTCATCCCCCGGCTAGGTCAGGATGGGGGCTGTTAACGAGCAGCAACTGTCTGCCACAGAAATTTCTGTGAAAGAACTTGCAGCTGTGAAATTCCAAGCAGATGTAGGGTGTCAGTGTGGAAAGGGGGAAATATTTTAAATTATTCATGACTACAGTTCCAAGCAGACTGATGTGCTGTCCTATCCTTTCCAGCATGTCTTCCTTTCACCTCGACCCTGGGCAGGACCCAGACTTTCATTCCTCTAGGCACTGAAGACACCTCGAAAGGAGATAAGTGCACTGCACCCCGATTCCCAAGAGTCAGAAAGCTTTCTTTCTAAGGAAATCATCCAAACAGAAAAGGCAAGGACCAGCCACCCCAAGTCCCTAACAGAATTTAGAAAGGCATTCCATTTTAATGAGGTTATTATGCTCCAAATGGTGTATGTATAAGTATTACTGCAAGGAGAACCTCGTGTTTTAGCACAGACTGCTGACGAAAAGGTATTTGTTAAACATTGTTCCCACACAGATTTCTCATTCAAGAAAATGTGTTTTAAGTTTCCAATTGTAAGGCATTGTGGGTGCTGTGTTCATGCTAGACTCCGGTTGAGAACTGCTAGCAGGATCACCTAAGACCATGGGAAAACACAGATATTTACATTACGATTCATAACAGGAGCAAAATTACAGTTAGGAAATGGCAACGAAAATAATTTTATGGTTGTGGTCACCACAACATGAGGAACTGTATTAAAGGGTCGCGGCATTAGAAAGGTTGAGAACCACTGGAATAGAGCATATAAGTTAGGAAGGAAAATGCGCGCGTGTGTGTGTGTGTGTGTGTGTGTGTGTGTGTGTGTGTGTGTGTACACATAGATAGGTACCTGAGTGAGAGGGCTACAGTAAGGTGTAAACAATCTTTATTTTATTTTTAAATATATATATATATATTATTTCAAAGAACAGGGGAGAGGGAGATAAAAACATCAATGATGAGAGAGAATCATTGATCAGCTGCCTCCTGCACGCCCCACAATTTGGGCATGTGCCCTGACCAGGAATGGAACCGCAACCTCCTGGTTCATAGGTCGACACTCAACCACTGAGCCATGCCAGCTGGGCATCTTTACACATTTTCTCTGTGCTCCCGAGAGCTGTCCTTATAGTCTGGGGGAGGGCAGAAGTGTGAATTTGCAGTTGCTAAGGCAGGACTCAGAGAGTGTTCAAAGAGGTGTTGTTGTTTTGGTCTGGGCAGGGATTTTCTTCTTGTGTATACACATGTAATATAAATAGTTAGCAATGATGCATACAAAGAAAACATTCATAAGCAGCTGGCTTAAAATTCCTCAGTATGCCT